TAAGTTCAGAAACACTGAAGGTTTTTTAAAATCTGCATTTACTCCTTTATAAATTATCTCAACTCTAAGGTATTCCAGCGCAGAGGTTTAGAGGGTGGGCAGGGGGGACAGACAGCCTGGATTCAATTCCTGTCCAGCCACCTACTGGCTGTGTGGCCTCAGGCAAGTTACTTAGACTCTGCGTATCAGCATCCTCATTTGACAAAGGGAGGCAACAACTACAGCACCTTCCTCATAGGATCATGGTAAGTATTAAGGTTATAACACACATAACCACTTACTGGCACATAGTTAAGTATTCGGTAAGTGTTAGCTACCATCGCCATCATCATTATTAAGGATTAACTGATATATTTCAAGGTTATCACTATACATAACTTAAGGGTATTTCTATAAATACTCATTTGACCTGCCAATAAACTACAATCTGAATTAAAATAATAAGTTGCTAAGTGATACAATAATTCTTCTACTCCCCACAAGAATATGTGGCCACAGTAGGGCTAGTATTTAAAACTTCATAGGACCAACTGCTTGTAATTGTACTTCAGTTTTAACTTTTACCTAATGAAAGACAAGTATGTACTTCGCTATAAGGCAATCCATTAAAAAATCTGCAAGTTATTTAACTGATATTTCTGTGGTGTTACTGAAGAACTCATTAGACAGTTGCACCTTAATATTCTGTAACAGATTCTAGAAAAATCTAAAATTTTTAGATTTTTTAGATTTATATAAAAATACCATTTATATAAATCTGATAGGAAGAAACAGAAATAGAGAAGAAACTGAATTAGAGAAAACTATTTATAATTTTGGGTATAAATGAAAAATCCTTTTGATATTTCTTTTTTTCTTTTTTCTTTTCTTGGTTGCTTGGTTGCTAGGTTGGTAACACTGCGATTTGAATGCTGCATCAACACCATTTCATACGCCTGTGGATCTCGGTGTCTTGATGACAACAGAGAAAGTCTTGTCTGTGCTTTAAAAACATTCAAGTTGCTTCTCTCCTAGGGAATCCACATCTGATCTCCCAGCTCTGCCATTTTGAAATATCATATGTCACCAGAAGACTCCAGGATAGACTGCCTAAGATTGTCCATCCTCGCACAAGGCAGAGGAAGGAGAGAAAATAATGTGTAATAAAATAGCTCTCCTGGTAACAGGAAAACTAAACTGACATCAGAATTGGGACAAAGCTGTGCTGACATCACAAGTTTGGCTCAATACCTAGTGCTCTCGCAACTTATTTAGGCCATCCCCACAACCTGACATCCCTCACGAGGTGTACCAAAACCCAAATGTTTTTCCATATGCTCCTTTTTCTTACAACACCAAGCCACCTTTTCATTTATGTTGATAATATACTGCATAAAAAGTCCCAGGGAAGGGATGCCTGGAGATATGTCCTTAAATATATCTCTGAAATTTCCCAAGAATCACAGTCTCAACTTTGAATGACAAAATTCTGTACCTAAATAAATAATTTTCTATGAAAAGATCAGAAATCTTTAAAATCCTGTAAAACCCTGAGTAGGTCAAATATTTTTTCAAATATTACATTTTTTTCCTTTGCTGTAACAAAATTAATATTTAATAAGAATCACCCATTTTTTATGGGGTCTAAGAATTCTTTTGGTTCATTTTAAGCCACATCTTTCACGGTTAGAATTTTCTGGTTCAGCTGGAAATATTTTTCAGAAGTCTGAACATACAGTTCAACTAATTATTCTGAAATGTGTGCATGTGGGAAGAATTTTTGCTTACAAGATCCTTCAATAATTCATATATTTAAATCATCATTTCCAAAGCAAATTTTCCAAAATCAAATAAATTGCAAAACTACAAGTAAACTAAGTCTCTAAAAAGGAGTTCCAATCCTCTGCCAAACAGACCTCAAATTCTTAATCCCTTGTCCAAAAAAATTGGACCAAGTATTGACGTTTTCCACCAAGCAAGCCACATAGCCACAAATGTTTCTCATTTACTCCACTCCTGGGACATACAGCTCAAATAAAAAATTTCCTGAATACCCCAAATTTCAGATACAATTTGGAATGTAAGTGATTCATAATGTTATGCAGGAAACATTATGATCTTCTCCTACCAACTCAGTGTTTCTGGAATGCAACCCTCAGGAGATTATCCCAACGAATCAGAAAGCTGACATCACCGTCAGCCTTGTGACCCAACTATTATGTCCTCTGCCCCTAGCTCAGATGTGATTTTGAACCTTGAACGCTCTGCTACTCCAGCTACCGTTCAAGTAAAACAGACGTTCCACTTAGCTCCACTTAGCTCCGTTAAGGGAGCTAACAAAGATCCATACTGTGCTCTGTGGCAAGTAACATGGTTAGAGTGCACTCACCCCCCTCTAAAGAAAGGCCAAAACTATGTTAAAAGGAATTAAAGGCACTGTCATCACTTGTGCACCAGAAGACTCTCCCAGTGGCCTCCGAACAGATTCTAATTAAATTCGAGGGTGAAACTTCACAGAGCCTCTAGTTAGTTTATGAATCCTCTTCTAATCCCCTCCCGCTTCACCTCCTCTTAAATAATAATTTCTGGGAGTATCAAAGTTGCAACAGGCCTCCCTTGTAGATTCCTGCACGGCTGACCTAGCGGAAGAAGAGTACTGTACTGAAGACCCAAATGAACGTGAAAACTGTCTAAGTCTGAGCAACTGCAGTAACTAGAAAAGAGAGACATGCAGGTGGTCGCATATAATGAAAGAAAGTAATAGGGCAGGGAGGTGCGAATGTGGGTAAGAGAAGATGGAGATAAACACCTACTGACATAGTAGTCCATTACCTAAAGGGATCATTACAGGCAAAATGTACAGTGAAAGGGAACTCTTCAACAAGGCTTATCTGAGAGAGCCTGACACAAAACTCAAAGCTGAGCGGGAGACACCTTGGAAGTCTGGGCAAATGGAGAGAGTTATCAGTGCTACAGAAATAACAGCCAATGGGAAGAAATGTCTCAAACAAAAGGCATCTGAGCAAAGGTGAAAGTTATTATTTAAGCATAAGGAGAAAAGAATCTAGTTTAAATAGAATAACATTCTCTAAAACACAATAATAAAGAAACAACACAAAACAATGGGTCTGCCTAAATTAAATTTCATGGGTCTGTAGGCTTTTTGATAGCAGTAACATTCACAAGGAAACACTAAAACTGTAATCTACAGAGATTAAAATTATGAGGTAACTGGGGATGCTGTGAAATGACTACATCAGGAAACCACGAAAAAAATACAAAATACTTGAAAAAAAGTTAATGTCTACACATTTAAAAAGATCAGCTGACATCTGTGGTTGGATCAATGTATGTTATGGATAATCTGAAAAATGGCTTGAATATCTCTAACTGCCAAAAGATCCTATTTTCCAGCCCAACCTAGTAAGAGGCATCTCTCCTTTATCCAGACAAAAAAAGACAGTAATCACATTGGTCATCCGATACTTATTTGTACTGAAAAAAACATTGGTTAGCAAATAACATCAGGAAATGGAATATTCGAGATGACAATCTTTTCTGGTTACTCTAAAACATAATTCTGTGCATTTTCCCTCTTGTGACTGTTGGTTTTACACTCAGAATTGAGTGAAATCAGCACAACCCTCAGCAAATTATTAAACTTAAGAGTTTTTCTGATTTGAGTAAATTACATGACGTTTATGAAGCTTCTAGAACAGGACACATGGTAAATACTTAAGGAAATATTAGTTCCCTTATTCTTTTCCTTCTCTCTTACTTCTGCCAACCATAGCTTTGCTTCTTCTTTTGCAGTTTAGGAACCAGGAGCTGTGTTTTCACATGCAATCAGCCAATTTCCCAAAAGAATGCAATGTTTCTTTGTTCTGTTAATCATCTGATCAAAGAGTTTTAATTAGAGGACCCCTCTAAAAACTTACTGCCTTAACTTTTTCTCTTCTCGGCTTAATTTCTACTGAGGAATCACCTAAGTCGATCATAGTTTCTATCAGAGCCCAATGTTAAGTGCAGCACTATACTAGGAGAGACGGATACAGAATTCAATAAAATATGGTTCCTACTTAGGATGGTTAATTTTATATGTTAACTTGACTGGGCAATGGGATTCCCAGACAGTTGTTCAAACATCATTCCGGGTGTTTCTGTGATGGTGTTTTGGCATGAAAATAACATTTAAATAGATGGACTTGAGTAAAAGAAATTGCCCTCCACAGTGTGGGTGAGCCTCATCCAGTCAGTTGAAGGCCTGAACAGAACAACAGGGTGACCCTCCCCCAAATAAAAGCATTCTCCTGCTTGATGACCTTCAAACTGGAATAGCTGCTCTTCCAGCCTAATGGCACGTGAAGTGGGAAACGGGTTCTTCCTTGTTCTACAGCAGCCCATGGCCTCTAGACTCAAAGTGGGACATTAGCTCTGCAGAGTTTGGATTTGGCCAGCCTCCTCCATAACCACATAAGCCAATTCCTTAGAATAAATCTCTCTCTAATAGATAGATTTAGATTTAGATATAGATAGACATAGGTACATAGATCCTATTGGTTCTACTTCTCTGGAAAATCCTGACTAACCCAATATCCTCGAGAAGCTCAAAATCCAGTCATGGGGATATACCCAAGTAAACCTTCTCCATGAAGCCTTTCCCAAACAATGACACAGAACACTGTACTATGAGCCAACTAAACCATCAAATAAAGAAACTATCAATAAATGTTCACTGAATAAATTAGAAGTACTTGAAAACAAGACCTGTCAAGGACAATATCAGACCATGTAATTCATTCCCCCAAGAATTCTCATAAAGAGAGTGATCTGGTGTCAATTTGCAACTAGACTTGCCCCTTTCCTGCATATGCTGAATGAATGAGATTTCTCTGCTTTACGAGTTAGTTACTGTTATTTGAAGCAGGTCATTGGGAATAAATTTAAAACAGGGAGTGCAGTTATAAATTAGTTCATTCCCCTCACAGTGCACAGTACAAATAAGAAGCAAATAAGCTCACTTGAATGGCAGCCAAGTTCTTCTGCTCCTGAGATGGTGCCTCATGAACAAAGCGAAGCCAGTTGGAGTGTCGTGGGTTGGTGGCATCCAATATGTATAGAACTTCTCCCTTACTCCCACGAACCTGAAACATAAAAAGCTCCTGAGTTTGTACCTGAAGTCAGTATTAGTTATACTAAACATATTAAGGGTAGGATATGATATTTTGTTCCTAAGTATATGCCTTTCTTATTGACAGGTGTTGAAAAGATGCTGGATTAACATCCATTCTTCCCCTTAAACATACGTTCAAACAGAGCCTCCTATTTTATTTAGCAGATGTCTAGATGACTCACAGTTGCAAGCAACTCTCAGAAACATCCTGTGTTGATAGCTCTTTTCTGGTTAAAATTATTTGTTTGTAGGTACATTTTAATATATGTGTTGCAACTGCAATCACTCAGGGGATAACCGTAATTGCAACCTGTCCCCTTTTTTCCACAGAAGAGGGTGATACCGCTTGGTTCCCAGTTGAGGGGGTGGAGCTGGAGCAATCCTTTCAATTTCTCTCTCCACCTGTTTACTGAATCATTTCCATATGAGAACTTGCTAATGAAACCAGTGGAAGCTGACATCCACTGAGCCACATTTTCACCATTTTAACTAGTTGATGAATAAAACAGGTTCCATTTTGTCTTCTCATGGCCTGTTCATGGCCTGCTGAGGACAGTGGGCCTTCTGCCTTTTGTTTCATGCCATAAAGCCTCCTGGTCAGACCCACTCAAGATTCAGTTGGAGGGAGGGAGGTAACTGTCGAAGTAGTGGGTAGTCCATTGGACATTCCTGAATCCAAGTTGCTTCAAATGGAGCTTCTCCAAAGCCCCCACACTGAAGGTTATCAGGCACTGCTCAGTTTAATAATGCATATATCAATCTCCAACCAAGTCGCTCTGTGTTTATATTCAATTGGAATCTAGGGGAGGAGCAAAGAAGGAATGAGTAGCACTTCAGATCTCTAACACCAAATGTAAGAACATAAATTTACCTTTGCAGACTTGGGGTGGGGATAAACAAATTCTACATTTCCAAAATCTTATTTAATAAAATACAGCACAACCAGCCTACTAAGGTATGTATTTTCATGATACATTTGGACAATCATGCATTCCCTAGACATAATCTCTTGAGTTCCTACCATAGGCCAGGTACAGCTTCAGGCTCTGGGACTCTTTCAGTGAACAAGATGGATGAAGCTTAACGTCGCAGCACTTAAGAACAAACAAGCGTAGAATATAACTTCAGGTAAAGAGAACAGCTGTGAAGACAACTAACACAGAACTAGAGGAAGCAGACTGAGGAGAGCCGAGCAATCTCAGAGGAGAGGGTCAGGCATAGCCCGTCTGATGAGGTGACCTGAGAAGATCTCTAAAGAAAGCAGGCACCGGCCAGTGGCCAGTGGAGAGGGCTGGAGAGAGTGCTCCCAGGAGGATGGAACAGCACAGAAAAGGCAAAGAGAAAGGCCCTGGGAGTAGAACAGAAGGAGCCACCAAAAAAATGAGGGGCATTCAGATCAGACTACACAGGCCCAGTCACACACTGATGTACAGGCTAGAAAAGCCATCTACAGAGGTCACATTACCCCCAAAAACTTACATAGAAAAATCTGCTACCCACACTGCAAAAACTTTTGTCAGGATTTTAGCATCTATTGTCCAGAAGAAATAGTTTGCCTGTTCCTACTACCTTATACATTCACTGCCATGTTTCTCAAACAATTCCTGTTTTCTTCAATGCCAAAGCATCCTCAATAATCATTTAAAAATCTCGCTAATGAGATACCAGACCAGACCTCACTGAGGAGGAATTTATTATTTGATATTATAATTGCTAAATTATAAATCTGAAATTTGATATTATAATTGCTAAAAGAAGAATTTAGGACTATAAACACCTACTATTTATCTCTCACATGTTGAGGTGTGAAGCTATGGGAATTTGTAACTTCTCACTGAAAAAACCTCATGGTGAGAAGATCTCCTTTGGGAGGCACTTGAAAATTGTACTACGTTCCTGCTTACCCCTCAAGGCGGTGCCCACTGCCTCACTGCCCACTGATAGATACAAAGGACCCTCTATACCTCTCCTCAAAGAGAACATCAACTCACCTCTCTTTAAGCAGAGTAAATAAATAATATTAAATATCTGGGTATAAAGTCTCCTTTCCTCCACAGCCACAGTAACAAAACTGCTTTATTGACAAACAGCTAAATTCAACAGAACAGCAATGCCATTAGACACTTGAAGGAAAATTTTTTCAGAACCAAAATTTAAAACCTCCAACTGTTAGGCAGAAATTAGACTCTAGCAGTAGAAGGAATACCCCAAGGCAGAGTCCCAAATCCTTGGAGGGGAATGACAGAGACAGGAGCTGGAGGCAAGGAGGGTGATAAATAAGCTACACATTAAAAGCCCCACGGGCATGACATCCTGACCTTCTGGCTTCCAAGACCTTGGGGCGGACAGATCAAGAGCCACAGGGGCAGAGCAGGCCCTCTCTTCCTCCACCTCTGCCCCAGGGTAACCCCTAGGCTCATTATAATGCATTTGCATTAACAGAACAACCTCAACATCCCCTCCCCCACCCCCTTGCAAAGCCTGCCTTGACTGTTCTGGTACAAACTTTGTAAGGTCAAGAACTCCCCCTCCCAACCTGTGGGAGGAGTTACCCAAATGACTGGAAGCAGCCTCCTTTAGAGACCACCCCACTGTAAGTCATAGCTCCTCCCCACCCAGAGAGACCTAATAATACCCAATCCCAAAACAACCTAGGGGCAGGTTCCACCTCTCAGAATCTGCCCCCTCTCCCACCTTGAGAGTATTCATTCCCTTTAATGAACTGCTTTGTGCTTGCTACTTTCCTTCTGGCTGTCTTTATTGGAGTGCAGATCCCCACATAAATCTTCTGAGGAATCCAAGGACTGAGACCTCCATTCACACAACAGACTCTCTCACCCGTAACACCACTAGTGTTGAAATCCACACAGTCCAGCTAATTTTATGAAGGGAAACACCAATGGCTCTGTCAGTGACATATCTCAGTTTGAGAGGACGGCACTACTTAGAGAAACTAGTCAATGGCCCTTCTAAGTCATACATTTGTCGCCTGGTATTAAGTACAGTATATATCAGATGTGTTTGACATTTGGAATTCTTTCTTCAAAGATGTGAAATATAACGAAGATTTCTCCCTGATTTATAGTAAGCACATTTTACCAGGTGCATTGTTTGTTCTTTGTATATTTCAGCTTTCTCCCAGGCCCTTTCGCTCCAACTATGTCCAACTATTCAGTATTAGTGACTCATTTCCAGTCCATTAGATGTAAGCACTCTCTGGTTGTCAATAACCTCACATCATATTACACCTTAAGAAACAAGCACAGTTTAATGTCACATTAAAATTCCAATGATACCTGTCACTTTCAATACATCCAAATTTATTTTTTTAAAGATCTTATTTTTATTTATTTATTTATTTGTCAGAGGAGAGACAGCGACTACAGCAGGGGGAGTGGCAGGCAGAGGGTGAAACAGGGTCCCCGCTGAGCAGGGAGCCTGACATGGGGCTGGATCCCAGGACCCTGGGTTCATGACCTGAGCCGAAGGCAGACACTTAGCCGACTGAGCCACCCAGGTGTCCCTCAATACATCCAAATTTATATACTGATTCACTTTTACTTATAGCCTCAGAACAACACTATCATAGGCAGTAATGTTCTATAGTTGCTTACATATTCATAGTTGAAATAATTTTCTTTGGTCATTAACAGACCCACTGCCTGTTTATTTTATTCTAAACACCTTTACCCAAATGACTTTTCAGTTCCTTCACAATCTTTGCAGGCTACATGTCTTCTCCAACTTTCAAATGCTTCATTCCCCTATCCCAGTCTTCAACACTTCACTGAAACTCTTAGATTACCTGCACACATAACTTGTATCTTCCCACCCTAACCACAGCATTCTCCTCATGAAATATCTAAAAGAGACATTCAAAGATAATCTAAGCCATCCTTCCTCTCCAGAGAAACCATGTAAAAACTCTCCAGATAGATGGCTACTATTAAAGTCTCCATTTATCTATTTTTAATTTGATACTGAACACTGAAGTAATAAATTGAACATTTTTAAAGTCTAACAAATAAAGAAGATATTCCTCTTGGTATCATGTTCTAGCCATCTAACTAAGCTCTGCAGCCAAAGTGTATTTTTTTCCGTGTCAGAACTGGTCTTCCAATTACCATCATCTTTTATTTGAATTTTCATGAAAATGAAGTGTATTGGTTACTGTCCTACTGAGGATTGTCTTCTGCATGCCTGGGGGCCTGTAATGAAGTGAATGTTCTCCTCTTGCAGTAAAAACCATCTCAATCCCAAACCCTGTTTGATCTGCACAGACCTCCTAAGCCAGTTACACACACACAAAAAAATTAGCTAAGGTGGGGAAGGGAAAAGAATCCCTCATATAAAAATGAAAATATTCACATTTCCATATAGCTGTTTATATGTCTATGAATTTGCCACTTAATATTAAATGTAAATTAGAACTGTGTAGGAATTTGGCAGGTTCTAGTTGCTGTTAAATGCTACTGACATCACTTTTGAAGTGTCCAAGAGAACGTGCTACTATGGATCTGTCCCTTTTTTCAGACCAGAGATTAGTAGTACTAAATATAAGTCACACTTGATTTTGCCTTCCCACCCAGTAAAGAACAGAAGAAATCACACACACACACACACAAAGTTCAGCTAATAAGAAAAAAATCCTAACTTGTTTTTTTTTTTTTAAAGATTTTATTTATTTATTTGACAGACAGTGAGAGGGAGAGAGCACAAACAGGGGGAGTGGGAGAGGGTAGAGGGAGAAGCAGGCTCCCCACTGAGCAGGGAGCCTGAGGTGGAGCTCCATCCCAGGATCCTGGGATCATGATCTGAGCCAAAGACAGATGCTTAACCAACTGAGCCACCCTGGAGCCCCCTAACCTATAAATAAAAGGAAAAAATTGGCAATAGGTAACCAGTACAAACTTTCTTTCCTTAAATACATTCTGTGTTAAATTGGGTCAACTATAGACAGAAGAGCGTTTT